CTCCCCCCCCCTCCCCCTTCCTGTCTCACCCCCCTTTCCCCTCCCTCCTCCCTCCCCCTCTTCCCCCCTCCCCCTTGGCCTTCCCCTCCCCTCCCTTCCTCCCCCTCTTCCCCTACCCCTTCCCCTCTCCCCCCCCCCAACTGGTTCTCGAAGCGATCCGCTACTTAAGATATGCACGAGATTGCGCCCTGGATGTACAGGTGCCGCCCCTCTTTGATGCTGCCCGTCCCTGGAAACGCGGCACGCAAGCCAAATTCGGTGTTGTTATCAGGGCGATCGTTATACCTGAAGGGGTGTACTAGGAAAGAGAATCGGTCGTGTCGTTGTGCATTTCGAGCGTATCCGAAAAGAGAGAGAAAAAAAAGGTACGTTCCTTCGTCGGTTTTCGGCGCTCTGTCCCGGGGTTTAACGTAACTACCTCGGGTTTGAGTGAAGCACCTCGCTATCTTTAAGACAACGCCCCTTGAAGAAGTCCAGGAGGAGGGCATAATGGGTTCTTGATTCCGGAGAAGTTGCAGTTGCAGCGTGTGTGTGTATGGAGTGGGTGTAGTGTCGCTGCAATGCATTATCTTCTTTGCTTTTCTCTCTTTTTCTCCTGGGGTGAAAGGGGGTCATTCACGGGATGAGTCGTCCTCGAAGCCCCGTCCTGTCGCCTTGGAGAGGTCTTCACTCGAACGCCAGAGCTCGAGATCGAGAGTTACTGCTCGCATGTCGCCCTCAGCTGGAGGACAATGCCTCTAAATGAGAGAAAGGTTATCATTGAGAGTAATCTATGTACCGGCATGCTAACCGTGGAGAGTTTATTGATTACCGGAGTCAAGGTGTGTTTGCCCGCTGCCAGACCTACGACGAAGCGCCACTTGTAGGCTCCCGCCACCATTACCATAACCATCATTTTGTGGACGGTGGCTCTCGGAGCTCTTCGGGCCCGTCACTGTCAGAGCCGCGGCGCTGCCTCGGGGCGCATGCGCGGGCTCCGACGGGGCGGCCAGACGTCTCCGCAGCGACGCGATCTTGCGATGCCTCCGACGGGGCTTCGGTACGACCCTCCTCGCCCCTTCTCGCCGAGGGTGCTGCTGGCGCTCGGACTGTGTAAATCCCGCGGACTAGGAGCGCCGCCCCCTCCCCTCTCCCTCACGCGGGCCGCCCGACACACATATTAATATGAGGCAAAGACTGACACTGTTCCGCCACATGTGAGCTACTGACGAGGGCCACATTGGCGGCCTTTGCTGATTACAGCGGACCCGCGTCATAATGGGATTCCACACAGGTCTGCTGGGCGGGCGGGGGGGCACTTCTGAGGGAGGGAGGGAGGGAGGGGAGAGAGAGAGGGAAAGAGAGAGAGAGATTGAGACAAAAAGGGGAAACAAACCCCCCAAAATAAATAAACCAACAGAAGGAGAAACGAGACAGAAGTCCATATACCCCCAACCCAACCCCCACCACCAACCCCGAAAAAAAGAGAGAAAGCGAAAAAGGAAAAAACACGAACGAAAGAGAGAGAGAGAGAGAGCGAGAGAGCGCGCGAGGGGAGGGCTGGAGAGGGACCGGCGAGCCAGCGATGGCGTCGAGCCTCCTGTGCACCCCCGCAGCGCTCTCGGGCCTCCAGCTTGAATGAGCTTGAGGCCCCCCAGCTTGAATGAGCTTGAGGCCCCCAGCTTGAATTAGCTTGCGGGCGCGGCCTCTCTCCCTCTCTCTCTCTCTCTCTCCGACCCCGCAGCCACATTAGCTGTGACCCAGTTTCAAGGAGGAGGGAAGGCCGGGAGGAGATCGAGAGCTTGCTGTCTTCACCGTACAAGGGGAGGGGAGGGAGGGGGGGAGGGAGGGGGAGAGGGGAGAGAGGGAGAGGAGAGGGGGGAGAGGGGAGGGGAGAGAGAGGTGGGGGAGGGAGGGAGAGGAAGGGGGATGGGAATGGAGGGAGGGGAAGGAAATGAGAGGGAGGAGGAATGAGTTGGGGAATGAATGGGGAATAAGAGAGAGGAATGAATGGGGAATAGGAGAGAGAAATGAATGGTGATGGGGAATGAATGGGAAATGGGAGAGAGAGGAATGGGTGCCGATGGGAAAGTGAAAGAGGAATTGGGAACGGGAGAAGGAAATAAGTGGTGATGGGGGATGAATGAGAAGTGGGAGAGAAGAAAGAATGAGAATGGGCGAATGGAAATGGAAAGAAGAGAAAATAAGGAAGGGAAGAGCGGATAGAGAACTGGAAAGAGGGATAGACGAATGAAATTGGGAATGAGGAAGCGAGAATAGAGAAAGAGGAAGGATGAAAGGGGAATGAAAGAAAACAGATGAATCGGAAACAGGGTAAGAGAGGGAGTGAGAATTTTAAAATGAATGGGGATGAAAAGTGGGTGAAGGACAGTAGAGAATAAAGATGGAAGAACGAGTAAGCATGTGGGAATGGAAATGGGAATCGGGAATGGGAAGAGTGAAGGCCGACTGGCTCCGAGCAGAGGGAGGCTGGAGCAATGTACAGTTATCGTTCTCTCTCTCTCTCTCTCTCTCTCTCTCTCTCTCTCTCTCTCTCTCTCTCTCTCTCTCTCTCTCTCTCTCTCTCTCTCTCTCTCTCTCTCTCTCTCTCTCTCTCTCTCTCTCTCTCTCTCTCTCTCTCTCTCTCTCTCTCTCTCTCTCTCTCCTCTCTCTCTTCTCTCTCTCTCTCTCTCTCTCCCTCTCTCTCTCCTCTCTCTCTTCTCTCTCTCTCTCTCTCTCTTTCTTTTTATATTGCGGGGGAGTTCTCTTCTCACTAGCATTTGTGTGTGTGTGCCATTCTCTAAAACCTTGAGGGGACGAATTTCAGGTCGTGAAGTCGTACATAGGGCTTCTGTTTCCTTCAACTGTCACACGAATATGCATGTGCGGTATTTATGTATGAACGTGTACATACATAGAGTATATACGAATACGCACACGGATCAACATACACATGCGTACGAACACGCACAGAAACACACTAAGTCAGACACACAGACACACACACACATACACACAGTACAGTATGTACATACAGTACATACAGTACCTACAGTACATACATATAGCACAGTTCACACAGTACATACAGTACATACATTCATAAATACATACATACATAAACACACACACACACACACACACACACACACACACACACACACACACACACACACACACACACACACACACACACACACACACACAACACACACACACACACACACACACACACACACAACACACACACACACACACACACACACACACACATTGGTCGAGCTCCGGCACTGTATTCTGTGACGCCTGGGCAGCCGGGGTTGTCACCCAATGACGCAATCCCCACGATGTTGTTTCGCTGTATCGACCTTAACTTTAACGTTTCGGTTATTAATTTGTTTACTTCTCTGATGGATTTACCCGCATGTTTCAGGTTCGTGTTGTTATGAGTATGAGAGCGTGATAACGTGATAGTGTGAGTAGTGTGAGAGTGCGAGAGAATAGTAGATGAGGGCATTGGAGAATGATTGTATAGAAGTATGAGTATGAAAGCATGGTGGTTTATAGTATGGTAGTGTGATAGTATGGTAGTGTGATAGTATGGTAGTGTGATAGTATGGTAGTGTGATAGCATGGTTGATAGTATGACAGTGTAACAGTATAAAAGTATGAGAGTATGAAAGTATGGTAGCATAATACTATGGTAGTATGATAAAATGGTTGATAGTGTGGCAGTATGACAGTGTAAAAGTATGAGAGTATGAAAGTATGGTAGTTTATCGTATGGTAGTGTGATAGCATAGTTGATGATATGGCAGTATGACAGTGTAACGGTATAAAAGTATGAGAGTATGAAAGTATGGTAGTTTAGAGTATGATATTACAATAGTATGGTAGTGTGATATCATTATTGATAGTATGAAAGTATGACAGCGTATGATAGTATGAAAGTATGACAGCGTATGATAGTATGAAAGTATGACAGTGAATGATAGTATGAAAGTATGTTATGATGATATTTGATATTGGTTCTGTAGGGTGAAGGCGTGGCCATGTATTATGTTGGACGCTTCCAGATATAACATTTATGGCGGAGCAATAGTGTCCAAAGGCCCTAGGAAGTGTATCTATCTATTATGAATGTATCTGCAGAGTGTGTGGTGTGTGCGTGTGTGCGTGTGTAGGAGGGAGTTGCGTGTTGGCGTGCGCTGCGGAATGAACAAGGGTTGTGACACACTAGTGTAATAGTATTACTTCCTTCCGCTAGGGCGCTGCATAGATCTTTCATTTCTGTTTTTTTTCTCTCGCTATCTATTTATCTATCTCTATCTCTATCTCTCTCTCTCTCTAACTCTCTCTCTCTCTCTCTCTCTCTCTCTCTCTCTCTCTCTCTCTCTCTCTCTCTCCTCTCTCTCTCTCTCTCTCCTCTCTCTCCTCTCTCCTCTTCTCTCTCTCTCTCTCCTCTCTCTCTCTCTCTCTCTCTTTATTTGTGTTCGTGGTTTTCCATTCCCATTAGCGTGGCCGTTGTATCAAGAGATCGCTATGGCCAGGATCTCATTATATGGGGGATCGTTGGTCAATGTATGGTTGAGTCATTCCTATACTTTATTCTTCGTCTCTTCCCCACTTCTCCTCTTTCCCCGTGTCTCATTCCCCTGTTTTCCTTCGCCTTCTTTTCCCTCTCCCTTCTCTCTTTCGCTTTCTCCCTTTCCCTCACCTTTCCTTTTTCATTTTTTCTCTCTACTCCTATTCCTCGCCCCGCCTCTTCCCTCCCATTCTTCCCTTTTCCCTCCACCTCACCTTTCGCTTTCCTTCTCCCTTTCCCCTTCCTTCTCCTTTTCCCTCCCCCCTCTCCCTCTCCCTCCCCCCCTTCTCCCCATTTTCCTCCCCCTTCCCCCCTTCACCTCTCCTCTCCCTCCCTCCCTTTTCCCCCCCTCTCTACACGCCACTGCCTCCTCCCCCCCCTCCCCCCCTTCCCTCCCCCCCTCCCACCCCTCTTTTTCCAACTAATTCATCGATCCATGACGGCTCTTGTAAGTGTCAGTTGCCAAGTACGGATTTCATGAGGTAGTGAAATGAACGGCGCGGCAAACTTTAAGGTCAAATAGATTTTCCTGGGGGTTGAGGACACTTCCCATCCTTTCTAATTCTTCTTCTCTCCTTTTTAGTCTGTCTGTCTGTTTGTCTGTCTCTCTGTTATCTGTCTGGCTGTCTGTTTGTATCTCTCTCTCCCTCTTTTTTTTTTCTCTTTCTCTCTTTATCTGTCGTTCCTCTCTTGTCTCTCTCTCTCATCACTCCCTCCCCCCCCCCTCTCTCTCTCTCTCCTCTCTTCTCTCTCTCTCTCTTCTCTCTCTCTTCTCTCTCTCTCTCTCTCTCTATTCTCTTCTCTCTCTCTCTCTCTCTCCTCCTCTATCCTCTCACTATCACTCTCTCACTCTCTCTCTCTGCTCTGTCTCTCCCATTCTCTCTCCTCCCTCCCTCCTCTCTCTCTCTCTTTATCTGCCACTCCCCCTCTTTCTCCCTCCTCTTCTTCTATTCATATTTTTGCCTCTTCTTTCTCATAGGTCACGGACCAACATGGAGCGTGGTCCTCATATGACACTTCGATCGTTTGCAAACTCGATTAGCTTCAAGTCTATCGTTTTTTTTTTTTTTCATTATTCATTAAAAAGATAATAATCTAAAAAAAAATCGATAAAGTTCTACCCAGAGAGAAAGAGAGAGAGAGAGAGAGAGAGAGAGAGAGAGAGAGAGAACCACTGGCCTTGGCTTAGGCTTCGTACTTTTCCTATTAATTCATTCATTGCGCTTGAGACAGGCATACGAACGATGGGTTCTTTCGTTCGAGGAGGATGAGAGGAGGTTCTGGGTTCTAAAAAGGTTCTGTGGGAAGGTTCTTAGAGAGGTGGAGCTACGTTCAAAAACGTTCTGTGGGAAAGTTGTTAGAGAGGAGGTTCTGGGTTCTAAAAGGTTCCTAGAGAGCAGGTTCTGGGTTCTAAAAAGGTTCTGTGGGAAGGTAAGAGAATAGGTTCTGGGTTCTAAAATATTCTGTGGGAAGGTTGCTAGAGAGGTGGAGCTATGTTCAAAAAGGTTCTGTGGAAAGATTTTTAGAGAGGAAGTTCTGGGTTCTAAAAGGTTCTGTGGGAAGGCTTTTAGAAAGGAGGTTCTAGGGCTCATAGGTTATATGAGAAGGTTCTAAGTGAGGTTCTACGGTCTGATTGCTTCTATGGTATAGCCCGAAGAGAGAAGGTTCTCTCTCGTACGTTCTAAAAGAGAGAAAATACTAGGTTCTAATAGGTTCTATAAAAAAAAAGGTTCTAAAAGAGAAAGTCCTACAATCTAAGTTCTCAGAAAAGGTCCTACAGGTTCTCACGGACTCGATGCAAGAGGATGCTATGCCAAAAGACGTGCCAATAAGGGGGGAAAAAAATCCCAAGAAAAGGTACTTAGAGGCTAGAGATTCTCAGAAGATGGTGGCATCAGAGGAAGAGGTTTCCGAGAGGGTTCTTGCGGGAGGAACAGAACTTCTTCATCG